TGGTTGATTAATTAACTGATTGGTTGATTAATTAACTGATTGGTTGATTAATTAATTGATTGTTTAACTAATTATTTAAATATCTAATTGACTAATTGTTATCAGCAGGTTGATTGAAATTAATATATTCAATTAAATATAATTTGTTTATGCTTTAAGTAAAGCATACAAACACATACACACATTTTTACAAACAGACGCGCCCACACACACGTACACAAAAATACATATACAAACAAACGAATAAGCATAAATACATTACATACATATACAAACTTTACATACATATACAAACATACATAAACGCTCAAAATTATTTTTACCAATAAAGTACATAAAATCTTAATGCGCCCAGCCGAGCTAATGCAACTTTTCTTTACAGCATAACTCGTGGAATGAGAATTAAATAATGACAATAGACATCATCTTAATCCTGATCATTAATGATTTTGTCATTAACATGTTGTTGTTGTTGTTGTATTGTAGTTTGTTGTTTGTGTGCATGTATGTATGTGTGTTTTTGTTTCAATCTGCAACAAGAACGATAACAAAACGCAAATGTGCAACAACAACGTCAACAAACACACTAATTAACTTTAATAACATTAAATATTATCAATAACATCAATTATAATAACGCCAAACATAACAGGAACAAAAAAATTATAAAAATAACCTCAGTGGTGCAAGTTACCATTTGATATAAGTAACAACAACAACAACAACAAACGCAAATGACATTAAGAAAAACAACATCAACAACAGAGCAGTAGTAGGACATCAGATCGCTGGCGTCATATCCCGTTGTTAGTCTATTTACTTACATGTATTTTACTTGAAACGCGCAATCATCGCGAACTAACAATAACAACACTAACAACAACAACAACACTAACAACAACAACAATGACAACAATAACATTAACGGCAATGGTACGTTTACACTTTCACATAGCAACAATAGCTGCAGCAGTTATAATAGCTAACGTATTGAAATCAATTAAAGTCGATAACATGTGCCAATTAATAAATGTCATTAAACTGCTCTCAAAGTACAAACGCCTGTTTCAAGTACGTGTTTTGTACTTATATGTTTGCGTCTGTACATGGCAAATAAAAATGGCTGAATATAAACACTATGTGTATACTTATGGTTATGTCTATACAAATACATACAGTATTAATGAAAGTATCATTATACAAACAAACAATATCACAATTCTTACGTTCGTAATAATAGTACTAATAAAATATAATGCAATACAATGACATTACAGGCATTTGTGTTATTATTAATAACAAACAAATGTATATATACAATCACAAATTAGCATGTGTTTTTAAATTTATCGTATATATATATATATATATATATATATATATATATATATATGCTATATATATATATATATATATATATATATATATATGAATGTATGTATGTGGATGTGTGTGTCTGTGTAAGTGTGTGTGTGTGTTTGTTAGTCTGTTTGCATTATAATTTTTGAGCCATCATGGTCAAACATATCTTCTCCTTCACCATACACTCACCACCTAATCATCTTTTAATTATCTTAACGTCAATCTGCATTTAACTTTGTTCTAACTTGGTCTTCTTATGCTGTGATACTTCGCGTCGTCATTTGGACTCTTCAAATTGTTTCACCATCATCATCACCATCATCATCTCCATCATCATCTTCTTCATCGTCATCTTCTTCTTTTGTCGCTGTCTTATATATGAGAGAGTCTTTGATTTAATTTTAAGCAAATTATAAATTGAAAACAATTCATAATAGGTTAATGTCATTCTTTCTTTTTTGTTCTTTTTTCTTCATTCTTTCTTTCTTTCTGTCCTCTCTCCTCCTCCTCCTCTCTCTCTCTCTCTCTCTCTCTCTCTCTCTCTCTCTCTCTTGATTTTCTTTTTACGTAAGTGTGATTGTTTGAGCGTGATATGTGTATAACCCATTTTTACATATGTATTTACTATTTATCTACTATGAGATATGCACTGCACACAGTCAAGCATTAAGATGTAAATAATATAAATTATTATAGAACACATATCTCAGTTTGTATTATGGGATACATATTTCAGTTTGTTCTTGTACGTGTGTGTATGTGTGAATGTGCGTGTATGCGTGTATATGTGTGTGTGTACACATTAGCACATTAGCGTATTAGGCAGCGAAGACATTAGAAAACTTTAGTGACGGAATGGTATCCATTTAAGTTGTAGGTTGCATTTTTATACGGCATCAAGGTTATTATCGCTCTTTTTAATGGCGTATTCTGTGCTGGCTCTCTGGTGCAACATTTTTAGAATTTATTTCTATTTTTTGTGCTTTGTCTCTCACACTCTTTCTCTTTCCTTTCTCTCTCTCTCTCTCTCTCTCTCTCTCTCTCTCTCTCTTTCTCTTTCTTTATCTGAAAAAATGTATTCTTCCTTTATTCAGAGTGAATAATTTGCAAATAGTAAGAGAAATAAAAGAGAGCCAAAAACGAGAATAGAAAAAAATAAAAAAAGAAAGAGAGAAAGAGAAAAAAAAGAGAGAAAGATAGAGAGAACGAGTGTTAGAAAATGTATGAAATTAAATAGTCTTCATATATCCTGGTGGAATTTGGTTTGGTAGTTGTCCATTTATTGTAGAACTCACTCACAGGCGGTGTGTTTGATTCTTCTATGTCTGCCTTTATTATCATTGCCCAATTTTGTTTTGACAATGTCTTTTCAATTTTGCTCACGTTTCGGCCTTTACTTCAAAGTAATTATTCTAACGTACCTCCAGCTCTGTTTACGTTAATGGTATCTCTTCATCCATACATGTCAGTGTTTTTGGGCTTTTTTGACTTACTATCTTAATAATAATTTTTTGGGTATCTTATTTGGCTTTTTATAAGACAAAAGTGTTTTCCAACATAGTAAAAGGTATTCTTTTTACATGTATACAGTAGTAGTTCTAGAAGTGCAAATATTGGCTTGTATCTCTTCAAATCGTTTAAGTTTATATGTTGCCATTGTTTTACGCATGCTAGTAGCTTACGTGTGTTTTGCATTCAGTGTGTGATTATAACTTGGATGTGATTGTATGTATTTTTTGACAAAAAATTTTTACACGAAATTGAAATGAAATCACATCAGTGTAATAATTTCTCCACATCAATATTAATATGTGGCTTATGATCTATGTGGTTTATGTGTTATTTCGTTGACGCTTTTCGAGTAACTTATCATTATTTGTGTTGACGAATGTACATTCATGTGTATGTGTGTGTTTGTTAGTTTGTTAGTTTGTGTGTGCGTGTGTGTGTGCACGCATTCCTGGGTTTTTGCATCAGAGGTATATCTATGTACGTGATATTTTTGCCTCGAGGGTTTTAAATTCCAATTGTCAGTGAGGAGAACGTTGTATAATTTTGTGCGTTGTGCGTGCGTGTGTGTTTGCATGTATGTGCGTGTGTGTGCGCGTGTGTTTGTTTATTTATGTGTATGTGTGATTGCGGCGTGACAGCTTCATAAAAATTTGACGTATTCATTCGAATCTTCGTAATTTTTAATCAGCAAAATGTTTTATTAATTAACTCAAAGAGCCGATATATATATGAATATATATATATATATATATATATATATATATATCTGTGTGAGTTTGCATAAATTTTAAACGTATTTATTTATTTATTTATTCATGACAGCATGTAGGAGTTATTATTCATTTGTTTATATTTAAAATTTAGCTAATTATCTCACACACAAACACACGCACGCACGCAAAAAACATACACACAGACACACTTCACACATTTACACATATGAATATATATATATAAACCTACTAAAATACATATTAAGGTACATGTATGGGAAAACGTGCGTGCATACCGACATTAAAAAAAGACAGAGAGAGAGAGAGAGAGAGAGAGAGAGAGAGAGAGAGAGAGAGAGAGAGAGAGAGAGAGTGTGAAATCTCAAGCGTCATATCAACTTGCCGCGTCATTCAATTATTTTTTTAGCGCATCTTTAATTAATTAAAAGTTGATGTGTTTATTAGGATGGTGCACAGCTACTTCAATATTCATTAGATAAACATCGTATATTCGCATCGTAATGCTGTTGCTAATGCTGCTGCTGCTGCTACAACAGCTACTACTACTACTGCAGCTGCTGTTACTGCTATAGCTGCTACTAGCTTATGTGACAATTGCTTTCATGCGTTGTTAACTTTATTTTCTAAATTAAATTATTAATATTTTGTATCAATAATAATCGAATGATGAAACATTTTACGTATCTATAGATAGATATCAAATCAAATTGCAGAGAGAAAGAGAAAGAAAGAGAGGGAGAGAAAGAGAGAGAGAGAGAGATAAAAGTATCATGTTTCTTCATCCTCACCTAGTATTCAACAACCAATCGGTGACCCACGAAATAATGGATATCTATCATTACCATCATCATCATCATCAGGGTTGTTATTATTATTATTATTATTACTATTATTTGATATAATTATTTGTTATTATTTTTATTATTGCGCATTTGTCTCTGTGAACGGTTGAAATTAAACAAGAAGTTTTTCAAGCAAAAAATTTTTTGCCGGCATGCATATATAAAAACTGATTTATTAGACGCGGCATGTAAATAAATGGATAGATAGATGGACGAACGAGTGAATGGATGAATAGATGAATGAATGAATAAATGAATGAATGAATGAATAAAAAAATTTAAATTAGGAAAAACGACTTAAATACATAACTTCATTCATTTTTCAAAATTGCCGAATGTTATATCGCTTTAAATCATTCTGACAATCTTTCGTGCATTTAATCCCAGTATAAATATACTTGTGTACGTGCATGCGCGTGCGTGTATGCGCGTACGTGTGTGTGTATAAAAAACAACAACATGCGTAACAAACTAATAAACCCACGTACACACGCACATATCCAACAAAATATTTACACTTACACGTACCCAAACAAGCATACAAATCCAATCAATTAGAAACCTGCTTAAATTGCTCCTCAAATGTCCAGTGGTGGCCAGTTGACGAGGATTCGGATTTCTGTGTGGGTGAACTCGCGTTGGCTGGTGGAGGCGAGGGCATGAAACGACGGTCAGTTAGAAGGATCTGCCGGCTCAAGTCTAAACTGCCGCTGTCGAACTGGGAGGAGATGCCCTCGTGATGATCAGGTGAGATTTTCAGACCGAAAATATTCTTTTCGTTGTTGTTGTTGTTGTTGATGCTGAATGTTTCAGTGTCGTTGTCGTCGTCTTCGATGTTGTTGTTGGAAAGTGTCGAACTTGGTGTCGTTGCCGAAGATGCCGATGTTGCGTTGTTGTTGTTGTTATTAATGTTGCTGTTGGAGTTGTATAGATTGCTGGTGTTGGTAAGCCATGTTGCTGCAAGTTGTTGCTGTTGTTGCAGTTGCAGGGAGTTCAGTTTCTCGGAGTCTGCCTTCAGTTGGAAAGCTGGTGGTAGGAACATGTCATACGCAAACTCTGGTCCGAATAGTTTGTGCTTCCTATAAGCGTTGTAATGCTGTTGCTGATGTTGTTGCATCAACATTTGTTGCTGCTGTTGACGTTGTTGTAATTGTTGTTGTTGCTGCTGGAAAAAGTTGTTGGTTGTGGTGTTGCCGCTGTTGCTGTTTTTGTTCATGAGACCGTGTTGCGCCAGCAAGCCCAGTGGTCTTTGTAGTTTGATTTCCGTTTGGATGGGTTGTTCCGAATCATGATGACGTTTCTTTTCATTGACGCCATCGTCGTCGTCATCATCACGCTCGTTTACATTTTCATCCTCGTCCTCATTGTTGTTGTTGGAAACATCTGCAACATTATTGGCAAGGTCGTTGCTTGTTGCGTCGCTTGTTCTGTTGTTGCATTTTTTTCTTTGAACGTTATACTCGTTGGCATCTTCGCTGCTAACATTCTCGCTGCTTGTGTTGCTCTGGCTTTTGTTGTTTCTGTTTCTGTTGCAGCTACTCTCGCTGCGTCTCCGCTTCTTTTGGTTGCCGTGCGATTTGAAATGTTTATCAACGCCAGAATCCATATCCACTTTGTTGTTGTTGTTGGCGCTATTGCTGACGTGGCGGTCTGTGTTGATGTTGTTGGAGTTATCGCATTGTTCAGTGCCATTGTTGCTCAACATCTTGTTACTTTCTTTGTCATTTCTGCTGACATAATCATCATCATCATCACCATCATTGACGTCATCATCTTCGTTTGCGTCATCGTCACCAGCATCGTAACGATTATCATTGTTGTTTTCTTTCTCGCTATCTTTTTCCCTGATCTCACCTGTTCCATTTTTCTCAACTTTTAAAGCCGTCCAGTGCTTCTTAGGACGTATCTGGTCAGTGCTACCGCCGTCATCATCATCGTCGTTGTTGTTATCATCGTCGTCATCTCGAGTTTTGGACAATTCAGCATCATCGTTGTACTCATCATCATCGCCATTCATTTTATTATCGTTAGGAATTTTTTTGCCTTTAGAAGAGTTTATTTTGTCGTCAATTCTACTGTCGAAAAGTTTTTTATCATCGTTTTGATGTTGCTGTTGTTGTTGGTGTTGTTGTTGGCGATTGTCATGGTGATGCGAACTGATGACGTTGTTGTTGCTGTTGCTGTTGTATGGTGATAACAAGTGAGAATGATGTTGCAGTTGGGGATGGTGATGATGATGATGGGGCTGGTGAGGCGCGAGGGGTGTTTGCATTCTCCAGGCACCCAAGCACCAGAGTGGCCAGGGCAGAGCCAGTTTGGAAAAGTTGTACCTGGTGTTGTTGTTGTTTTTGTTCTTTGTTTTGTTTTTTTTTGATGTTTTAGTGTCGGTATGTTGTTGGTGAATTATTTTTTGTGTGTTGTTGTTGTTGTTGTTGCTGTTGTTGTTGTTGTTGCTGTGATCCCTTCTGCTCTTCGATTGATGTTAATGTATTTTCGTTTGATTGTTGATGTTTATTTTTAAATTTTAACGTTGTAACGTCTGCGAGTAGAAGTTGTCGTTGAATTATATTTTGAAATGTCTGCTGCTGTTGTTATGCACGCGCGTGATGAACGAACATAAATTGTATTAGTGTCTGTGTAAATGTGAGGATTGTGAGGATTGTGATAGGAATGGATGGTGCTAGTGCAAGTTCATTGTTATCGCTATTAAAAGTCCTAACTGTGTCAAGACTGGGATCTGTTTTTTGGAAATAAATTTCATTAAATTTATAAATAAATGTTAAAACCTCTAACGGATTTATAATTCAAAGCAACTTTTTATACAGAAAAATATTCCTATTTTCAACTAAACTCAAAGAGCGCATTTCAATAGTTTTTTAAAATCGCACCAACCGGACAAAAAACCAGCCCTACCGACCTACCTACCTATCTACCTACTTACCTACCTACCTACCTACCTACCTACCTACCTACCTACCTACCTACCTACCTACCTACCTACCTACCTACCTACCTACCTACCTACCTACCTACCTACCTACCTGCCTGCCTGCCTACCTACCTACCTACCTACCTACCTACCTGCCTACCTATCTACATACCCACCCACCTACATACTTACCGACCTACTTACCTACCTACCTCTGAATAAATTTCCTTAAAACAAAAAAAAACTCGACTTCAAATTTATTTCATAAACTCTCACCACACCGTACACACGCAGGCATATATTGTTAGAAGCGAAAATATCAAAATATAAATATATATATATATATATATAAATACAAAATAACAACAACCGTAATAATAATAATGATAATAATAACTACGTGAGACGCAGACAGATATGAAAAGTAAGTAAAGCTATACAAAAGTTACGCTGCCAATGAATGTAATAATCACAGTATTACGAAATAACATTATTTCTTTATTGAGGCATCATCTACTTTATATAATCCGTCAAGGAAAAAATCCGGTCGACCAATCACAGTTGAGAATGGCATGTCAATCATGATGATTTCAGCCACGTGCTTGAGAGAAGGCGGGTCGTAACGACTTTACGTCATTTTTGGCTCCTCCCATTGTAATTTGATACGGTGGTGTTATTTGAATGTGAGATGTTGAAGTTGGTAGTAGGAAAGTTTTTTGTGCGTGAGAGAGTTTAGTGGAGTATTGTTTTAACTATAGCAAGATCCTGTGAGTTAATCATACAAATTTGTGTAAAGTCTTGTAAATCTGTGTAAACGCCAATTTATCCATTTTATTCAATTTTCTTAAGCTTGGTTGGTTACTTCGAATAAATTTAAGTTCCTAATTTCAAAATTCGACTTTAATTTTTTTAAACATAAAATTTGAATTGAGTGTACACTACGCATACAACATAATATACAAATTAATTGTTTGAACATGGGATATGTATATGTATGTGTGTATCTTTGTATCATCAAATGTATATGTGTTTGTATGTGTGTGCGCGCGTTTTGGTTTTGTCCGTTGAGTTTGTTGTGATCTTTATTTTTCCATTCGTATTTTTGTACACGTTTTAGGTGTATGTAATAATATTCTCAACAGCTATAGAGGTGATCGAAAATCTGATTTTGTAATCATAAAAATTTGAAATAAATTGGTGTCATTGTTTAGGATTGATGAATGATTTAAATGGTTGAAAAATCAAACTTTTGAAAATAAATGCACGAGATACTTATCAATATTGTAATAATATTTTAGTTTTTCAACTGTTTTAGTTGATTTTAGAAAAAATCAAAAGTACTTTCAAGTTTTTCAATTTTGTATTATATATATTTTTATAGCTTGAACGCTAATTAAATAAATTTTTTCGTTAATTTTTTAATACCACCTTAATATAAAAGTTAAGCGCATCCCTATTATGTGAAAAAGAAAGTTGTTTATGCACATCGGAATTCCCCATCATATTTCGGTTTCTTTAGTTTATTTATTTAGTCATCTTTTACTTCATCGCTTACCTAAAATGGCGATTTCTGAGGTATGTGTTTGAAATTAAAAAAATGTTTGCTCATTTGAAATTTATTTTACTTATTTTTATTTATTTATTAATTTTTATTTTTTAATAACATTTTATTTTTAATCTACCGATTAATAATTAATATTAATCATTAATGTGGAAACATTCTTAAAATCTTAAGTAAGTCATAAGTGGAAGTCTCAAGATGTCAAGATCATTATATGAAGGAGTTTGTTTGAGCTAAGTTTGAGGCTGAGTTTTTGTAATTTGCTGATTAAAAATACCAACTAACTCGAACTCAAACAAAAATGATAGAGTTAGTTAGTGTTTGTTAGTGTTACGGTTAATCATTACGGAAGTCAAGAAAGGTACTGAACCTGAGCTCTACCATCAAATTTATTTTGTTGTCTCTAATTTCAATATTAAATAATGAATAAAATGCTATCTCAGTAAAAAATAATTTATTGATCATTTTATATTTAAATGATATTTAATAAAATAATAAAATATTATATAATATTGTGTTAAAAATTTAATAGGATGTAGGTAGTGTGCATGTGAAAGCAGAGTATGTTGTATCGAGTCGAGACAAGCAACACAATATTGTTTCAAGTCGAGACAGCCAACATAATGTGATGGAACTTAATGGGAGTTTAAGTTTTGTCAACCAGATCATCACCAACCAGAATCAAAAACCTGAAAAATTTGATTGCAAGGTTATGAAAAATTTATTTAGTTTATCATTTTTTCAAAATAATTTTTCCAAAATTAAGAAAACACCTTTATAAATTGTTATTTCTATCTAACAGTTGAAGTTAAACAATAAGTGGATGAACGAAGTAGCAAAATTCTTTTTGCAAAATCATTTTAAATCAGACCATGTTTCTGAAGATTTCCATATCAAACTGGAAAAAAGAATTTCTCTTTCTATTTTTTCTTCCAAACATAGTAATTTTATGAAGAGCATGATGATGGCTGTTGATCCAGCTGATAAGGAAAATTTTGCTGCTGATGGGAATGATGGTGGTGTAGATGGTGATGAAGACGATGAAGATGAGGTTGATTATAAATTTTGTTCTGTTTGTTCATGTTTGGTTTTAAGTACAACTTTTGTCAATTTAATTCTTCATATTGCTTCGCAAAATTTACCAGTTAAAATTTACATTAATTTCGAGATGTTACACTTCAGATTTTTGAGCCAGTGTCAGAAATACAGCTGAATCATGACAAACTAATATCACTCATTCAAAACTATTTGGGCCTATCAGACATGATCAATTCACTGAATTATGAACAATATGAAGAACTCATTGAAAAAATTGACAGAATTGACTCCAAACTAATAGGAAACAGCTGCAACGAAAGGAATGATGGAACAAATTTGAGAACATGTGAGACCAAAAAAGAACAGAATGATGACGAAGGAGTCATTCTTGACATCGATGAGCCAGCCTGGTTTTACATACTGCACTCTGAAATGGAAAATATTGAACATTTATTTACTAAATACAACTGCAATGTAAGCATTAGACGAAAGAATAATGATAAAAATAGTTACATATTCATCAAGTCACAGTCGAACGATCGCAAGATTGAAAATGATTTAGCTGAGAAAATCACAAATATTTATCAAAGATACGAAAGCCTAGGTAGTATAGTTGAAAGAAATGTGAATGTCACTATTGCATTATTATCTGGTTTGGAGAACGTATTAAGCGTGCTGAAACAGAAAAATGTTGTTGTCAATTTGAAACTCTTAGGGCAAAAATCTAAAGTAGATGAGATAGATGACATGATCAAAAGTTTGAACTCCAAATTACTTGCCAATAGAAAAGTCAAATCTCCTAATATTATTCGCAAACAACACAGATTTGATTCAGGGCTGGAGATGTTCATTTCAAAAGGTAGTTCAATACATTATCTAACCGTTTTATCATTCAACTTCAAGGCTAACACACTTAAACGTGCACACACTGACACATTTTTAAAACTTGTTAAAATATTTATCTTTAATTAGCATCATTCCCTTACACGAACTTACGTTTGCAGGCAACCTGGTTACACAAACAACAGACGCGATAGTTAACCCAGCAAATAGTTTTCTAGATCATGGAGGTGGTGCTGCCAGAGCGATTGCTGACGCAGCTGGAATTGAACTGAAAATAGAATGTGAGGCTTATATAAAAAAAAATCAAACTTTACTGGAAACAAAAGCTTGGCATTCCTCAGCTGGTAAGTTGCAACCAAATGTTTCCTACGTGATACACGCTGTTGGTCCCCGAAATTTAAGTAAATTAGACCTACTGACTGAGAAAGAGCACCTGGATCTTTTGACTAAGTTGACTGATACCTTTCATAACTGTTTAAAATACGCGAATGATGTATTGAAGATTGTTTCTGTTGCTATTCCAGCTATCAGTTCAGGTTTGTCTGTATGTTGTTTTATATTGTGGTGCGATTTGAAACTAGCTACTCGGTGTTTTGCAGGTATTTTCAGAGTACCCATGGACATTGTCACACAATCTATGTTCAAGGCTGTTGATAATTTCGAGAGAGAATATTTCAATTCAAATACTAAGAAAGTAATGCATCTAAAAGAGATTCATTTTGTAAACATTGATGAAAGAACTGTGTCGGCTATTGCGAGAGCCTATGACCAACACTATTCACAGATGAATTATAATGACGGAAGCAGCGTTGATAATTCGGGAACTCCGTAAGCCTCTTTATAACTTTGCAAACAATTTATTTTGTAATTCTGCTCGCTCGTATTGTTCAACCTTTTATTAAATAACTTTTCAATTCAGTCGTCATGCTGACGTTGATATAAAAGAGTTACCTTACAACAACGAAAGTGCTAGAGTAGTGTTTGACTCGAGCTTCAGAAAAAATTCAAAATTACCCATCCGGGCAAAAAACCTGAATTCGGAAATTCCTTACATAAAAGAAGAAAATGCCACCAACAACATCTCATACTCAAATCTTCAAAGGAATGAAATTACTGAAATGAGTGGCGAGGAAGAAAAAATCGGGGAAGGCAAATCTGACGACTCAAAAAAAGAACCTGAGACATGCACCATATGCTTAGAGATCCCAACAAATCCCGTCAAACTCGGGTGCGGCCATTCATTCTGCGGTGATTGTCTTGATCAAAATAATAAAAAAGGCCAACAAAAATGTCCAAATTGCGGGAAAGTTTATGGAGTAATAAGAGGCAATCAACCAGATGGTTGCATGACAGTTAAACATCTTCACACTCTGCACTTGCCCAGTTACGAAAGATGTGGCATCATAGAGATTTTGTACTCATTCCCTAGTGGAAAACAAGGGGTATAATTCCAACAACATGATTTATTATTTTGTATTTTGTTTGAATTTATGTATTTTTCAGGAAAATCATCCAAACCCAGGTAAACCTTTCAAAGGCACGCATAGAACTGCATACCTACCAGACAACAAGGAGGGCAATGAAGTATTGGAATTGTTTCAAAAAGCCTTTGACAAACGTCTTTTATTCACAATAGGAAGGTATATTTTTTTATAACTTTATTTTTTTTTTGTCATATCAACATCCATTTGCTGATCAAACTATAATCTTATGAGAATTATTTGCTTGTGCACAGGTCTGTAACTACAGGACGGAATGATGTCGTAGTTTGGAATGACGTCCATCAGAAAACTTCACTTTATGCCGGAGAGTACGTTCCCGACAATACATTTTTTTTTAATTTTTTAAAATTATTTTTTAAAATCTCGGTTTAAAAAAATCTTTTTAATTTTTTTTTATTTTCAAAAATAAAGGTATGGATATCCAGACCCAACGTATTTTGATCGTGTCAAAAAAGAGTTGGCTGACAAAGGAATTGAATAACTAACATCATAATGGCAACCGGCAACCTACTCTTTATTTAGTTTATATTGTTATAACTCTGCACGATTCTTCACAATTCTACGTTGAAACCTGAAATTTTTTGGCTTCAAAATTGACAAAATACTTGAATAAATTAATGTTTTGTACATACTTAAACGTGAAAGCGGTTTTAGAGACTATCGAACGATAAATAAAATTATTTGTTGGTGAATTCACGCGAACTGATGTTGTCATTTTTATCACGCGGTGACGAATAAGCATTGAAATAAACCACGTTGAAATGCATGCGTCGACTATAGATGCATAAACAAAAACCAAATGGGAAATGTTAAGGTGCCTAGGATGCAACCTGATATGGATAGGAAGAATGTAAAGTTGTACAGATCTCAGCAAGATTTGCAACGTACAACAAGCAGATTCTTCTTTGGTTAAAGTTGTGGGCGAATAATAAAGATCCGAAATTAGGAATAAATATTCTTTTCGCACGATAGGTGTCACGAATTAGATTGGTATGCTTCAAGTCGAAAGCAGATGTTAAAATTTTGGTGTAAAATGCATGGAAAAAACAACATTGAATTTATCAAACTGAGCAAGTTATTGTGAGTTTGTTATTGTTGGCCTAACTTCTCAAATTTGTGACGGAAAATTTGTGACGTCTATTCTTACAATAAAAAAAAATACAGCTTAAAGCCGCAATTTCTGTGGTGCTTATTGCAAAAACAATTAAAACTATAAATGTATAATCAAATTTTGAAAATCTTAGGTGAATGTAAGATGTAGCAAATTATAATAGTACATAATGAACGTTTGTGGAACATTTAGGTTAAAAAATTCAGACAGAATTTGAAAATATTTATTCAAAATGCACTCTGTATTTACATTCTACAAATTCATCATTGCAAAATTTCAACAAATGTTATAAAAAAATTCTCAATAATCTGAATAACAAAACAATGATATAAAATCCACCAAAAAAGGCATAATATAGAAACAAAATTGCTAAAAAACGTCACAAAAACAAGAGACGAGACACGCCTCTTTTCAACATCTCACTAATCAGACTAATGGATTTGTAGCCCAAAGCAGGCAACAGCGACACAACATAGAATAATATGGCCCCAAAGAACAAAGAAATAATAACATATTGTACATTAATATTTCTCTCTTTTGTTTAGTTCCATGGTATAATTATATGTTTACGTCATTATTTTTATTACAATGCAATAATCAAGATGATATAAAGGTTGCATCCTCCATAGATATATATCTGTATTTATGGTTGTATCCCTCATGTATTGAATTCGAATCATATTCACTATACTAAATATCTTATGGTAATAGCTTTTTTTAGCGTTCATTTTTAGCGTGGTAATAGCGTTCATTTATATATGTGTGTATATGTGTATATTTTAACTATATATATTATATATATATATATATATGTGTGTGTGTGTGTGTGTGTGTGTGTGTGTGTGTGTGTGTGAATGTGTGTGTGGGTATGTGCTTGTTTGTGTGTGTAAGTGTGTGTTTATTTATTTAAATACAATAATACATAAATGAAGTAATGCGGAAATAAGTGATAACTATCGTTCCGATAATTTTCGGCTTGCATAGCATAGCGTGTGGCGAACTGAGTGAAAATAAATTTCACTTAGAGAGCATTCGAGAACCACACCCACCACTGACATTAGCAATCACCATGGCAACCATTTCCCCAATCCTCTCCCACACATTCCGTCCATCTTTCTTTCATTTTTTTTATCAATCTTCATTTAAAATTTTTGGTTTTAGTTGTTCATTTTACTTTTGTGATGCTTTTTGTAATGCTGTATAACGTTTGATGAGAATGATAATGAATAACACATGTATATTTAACATATCACATAAATACACACATATACACACACATACATTTACACATATACACACACATACACACACAGTTAAGTGATTAACACTATATCTTGGTAATAGTTAGCAAAATATTGCATATATGCAAAATTACATAAAATCTTAGGCATAATGGCAATCTTAGGCAAAGTTACATCCCCCAGTCAAAAAAAATAAAATAAAGATAATAAAATAAAAACAAAATAAAAAAAATTTGAATTAGATTCACTTTTCATCAGTAAACAAGGGCCTGGCTGGGGCTAGAAGGACAACAATGTCACCGCGCATGCGTAGAAGTATGCTTCGTTCGGTGTCGCCCTCCTAATGGGTCACGCGTCATGATCACGTGATTTGTGACCTCTTTATAAAATCAATTCGATGATTGGTTGAGAGATTTCACGCGTGTGTGTGTGTGTTGTTATTGTTGTTGTTTTATACGTAGTTTGTGCTGTTTTTAATTGCAAGTTCGGACCATTTAAAATGAACAATGGCGGTTTTGTGTGTTATGGATGTTGAAAAGTTCTATACAAAGTTTACTGTGGTAGGAATTTGTATAATTTTATAATTTATTGGTTTCCCAAAAAATTTGAATGAGAAAGTTCTTTCTGCTGACATTCAAGATGAAATATATGTCTGAGAGTTGTCTAGTTTTTTTTAAGCAAATTTAAAATTATTCAAATTTTTTTGAAAAAATTTGCAAAATGTTTTATTCTGATGATTGTTGCTGTCACCATCATCATCATTATCATCATCATCATCGTCATCATCTTTTTCTTCTTCTTCTTCATCATCATCATTATCAACATCATCATCATCATCATCATTGCACAATCACAACCATTACCATCACTACCATCATCACTACCATCAATAACAACCACAACTAACACAATCCATGACGCCATCAGGTCGTTGACAAGGTTCCGGAAGTCAAGCAGCCGGAAGTGAATGTCGATCACGTGATTGTGTATGTATGTGTATATGTGTATGAATTTATGTGTGTATAAGTATATTTGTACATATGTATGTATGTATGCATATATGTATGTGTGTGTGAATGTATATGTATGTATATGTGTATGTAAAAAGATGTTTGTATGTACAATATGTTTAAAAGTAAGTATGAATGTATGTATGTATATTGTATATATGAAGGTACGTAGGTATATACTTGTGTATGTAAATATGTTTTAACATTGGTATATGGTATAAACATTCGATTTTATGTATACAAATTTGGTTGATAAGTAGATTTTTTAAAAGTGAGTTCGCTTTCTTGTCCACTTTTTAACCAATTTTGGTCTACGTATGCGTGTGTGTGCGTGTGTGTATGTGTATATAGGTGCATATGTATGTATGTGCCTGTGTGTATGTGTGTATGTGTTTATGTACGTGTGTGTATGTGTATATGTGCGTGTGTGTGTTTGTACGCAGATATGATGAGAATATACATGTTAAATCAGTGGAGCATAGAAACATCAGCCTCACCACAGGAATATAAATTTTAATTTAGCAAATTATACGCAATATTTACGCTTAGACAACATATACATACATACAAACAAACAAACATACATACATACATACAAACAAACAAACAAACAAACGTACATACATACATACATATGTTTGTATGTTTGTATTTGAAGTGTGAGTGACTCCATCGAAGCGTAAATAGGCAATCAATTGTCCATACAACGCAAGTACAAAAGTGTGCTTGCATTGAATGCGCGTGTGCGTATGTATGTCTATATGTGTATGGATTGTTATATGTGACTGTGTATCTGTGTGATGCAATTGTATGTGCATATCATCTTTGTATTATGTGTATGTGTTGTATTTTGTGTACACAATTTTCAATTGAAGCATGTTTGTGTTTATATTGAAAAGTGTGCACACATATATAATATCTACATAGCCACACACGTACACACACGCACATACACATACATGAGCAAACACATAGTATCATCGATACAATACTGCATCACGTTCTGTACACAACTCAGCAAACCATCACCATTGAATTGTACACAAATACACATACGTGTATTTGTTTGTACACACGCACACACACACACACACACACACACACACACACACACACACACACACACACGTTAAACAAACACACACATATATATATGTACACATACATTCAATACACATACACACGCAGGCACAGTCAATACACATACACACACACGTACATACACACGCTTGCACAGTCAATACACACACACAAACACACACACAAACACACATATATATATGTACACATACATTCAATACACATACACACGCAGGCACTGTCAATACACATACATACACACACACACACGTACATACACACGCTTGCCCAGTCAATACACACACACACAAACACGCAAACACAGTAGCTTCAACGGAGACACGTGAATAAAAAAAATGGCGAATGATTGATCTGTGCTACGTTTGATTTATTTATTTATTTTTCTTTCTTTTTTGTTGTTTACTTTTAATTGAAATTATGTTGTGAGATGTGTGTGTGTGTGTGTGTGTGTGTTTGTCTTTGTATGTGTGTGTTCTGTGTGTTCTTTGTATGTGTGTGTGTTGTGTGATTGGTTGCTTGTTTATGTGATCATATGTAAGTGAGTATATATACACACATATGTGTGTGAGTCAGTGTATGTATGTGTGTGTATGATTGCTTGTATTTGTGTGTGTGTTTGTGTGCGTGCGTTCTCTATAAGGACATGTTAGATTGATTAGAGATAGAACTGATGACCGATTTAATGTATAATCAACGAAAAGAATGGAAGAATTAAAATTAAAAAAAAATTAGGATGAATGAAGGAATGAATTAATGAAAGAATGAATGATTGATTGATTGAATGAATAAATAAATAAACAAATTTATGAATAAATGAATGAACAAACAAATAAATGAAATCAGAAAACTAAGATTAAATAGATGAGTGGATGAATGAACGAACGAACGAATGAACGAACGAACGAACGAATGATTGCAATCCAATTTGAAATGAAAACATCAGCGAATGGATGGATGAACGAGTGAATAAAACGAAAAGAAAGAACAAACAAAAAATGAATCTAAGAAGAGAAATTAATCAATATATTTGTTTTATGTAGGTTATTAGCTGATTAATAAAATCCAACGATATTCCCAGCAAATGCTTTATGTACGAAACTTAAACTGCTAATATAAAAAAACAATAAATAATAATTATTTTTATTATTATTTTTATCATTATTATTTTATTATTATTATTAATTGTGTTTTTGAAGCAGCAAAACTAATGTGACCGTTCTACCAATATTTATAAGGATGAATTGAATGAATAAACGAATGGACGAACTAATAAGCAAGCTTTCAATTGAATGAGTGAACGAGAAAATGAATCAACAAGTGAATGAATGAAGAAACGAATGAAAAAATAAATAAATGGATGAATGAGTGAATAAATAAATGAATAAAATCTCAAAAAACGGATGTATGAATGTTTGTGTAGGCACATGGAGAGAGCAATATTTGAGCGCTTATACGTTTGCGCAAACAACATCATCATCATCATTATCATCATTATTATTATCATCATCATCATCATCATCGTCATCGCTGTAGTCATCATCATCCTCATCGCTGTCGTCATCATCATCATAATTAACATCACCAGTAGCAATAACTTTGTTGTGTATTTTTAAAACTATTATCTTCTGTATTTTCCCAGCGTCATCACGTCCTCGATACGGTTTTCATAGTTTAGTCATTTCACAATGACATCAAAGACGTCATCACCACATGACATTAACAGTTTCTCATCACATTAAGAACATTAACAGTTTCTCATCATCATCATCATCACATTAAGACAACATCATCACGCCACAGTACATTACAACGCAGTAAACTTTGGTTTGAGGTCAAATGAGATATTTCGATTTGTATTGTGTATTGTAATCATCAAACGACAAAATCTCTACTACAAAACATTAACGCATAATAAATATACCATCAGATAGACCACCCTTGCATAGCGATGACATCACGTCTCAGTATTAACACATAATCACATCAACATGTTATCACACCGTAACGTTAACACATAATCACATCAACACATTACCAGATCGTAACGTTAACACATTATCACATCAACAAGCCATTACATTCACATCACATCAACACATCGCCACAAATTCACACAAAAAAAAATCTCTTCTTTTCAATCTTTTTTTAAGTCGTTATCTGCCCCGGCATCGAATACATTAGCGAAGACAGCTCCGACTACACAAGACATAACATTTTAGTGATATCATCGTCATCATTACCATCCTTTTTAATTTAAATCATCATCATCGTCATCATCATCG